GATACACATCGAGGATGGATGGTTGTTAAGCTGATCGTGTTGTGTTCTTTTTTTCTGAATAAATGGTCGTTTTTGTAATAATCTTTAGTCGCTGGTAAATGATCTGCGGAATCGATACTGCTTCATGTGAACAAGAGATGATCTGAGATGAATGAATTAAAAAAGAGTTGATTTCTTGTGTGTGCTAACGACGATATTATGTAATTGCAACCAATAATAGCTTAAGAAGTTAACGTCAAACTAACGTCAGCTCCGATTGATGTTCATATTTGGCGTTGTTGTATTTTGGTTGTAATGAGTGAAGAGCTATCTTTGATTGTTTTTCTTTTCTTTGGCGTTATTCACTCCAAGAAGAGAGAATGGATGATCGAACGTTTCTGTGCGAACAAACGGATGATTTGATTGAACAAGCGATTTGATGATTTTTGTAATGGCTTAATGATTCGGCAAGCTTTTATAACTGACTGTTCATTACTTCGATTCAGCCGATTCGACTCTTTTTATCGTTGATGAATTAAAAATATCTTGAACATTATTACACTCTACAGTGCTGCAACTTTACAGCAAATGTCACATACACTTTAACGATGTAAAAAACAAAAAGACAAGCAAGCAAGCAAACGATCTGTTATAGGATGATTCTGATAATATTTTTGAGAATGTTATGAATCCATCCATCCATATGTTCACATAAAATATCATCCATTATTCATTCTTTTCGAGTAGGCCAAAGTTTGTTGGAAAAATATGAACAGAAAAAATCAAATTGCTCACTAATAACTTCTGATTAATTGCTTTGATTTGGTTGAAGTGATAGGGAATGCTGAAATTTGCTTCATAAGCATCAGAGATTTTGAAAACATCAGAGATTGTGCTAATCGAGAAATAAACCAATTTGGATATTTGCTTGACTCAGAGCTTGATTGTTGAGATTTGAATACGTGAGGAGTCGTTTTTTTTTTGGGCCCCCTCCCCCCAAAATTTCAGTCAATTCGTTGATTTCAGTCAATTCGCTTGCTTTCAATCGAACACGAAGAATTGTTCTCTCTTCAAAAAAAAAGGCTTTGATTGAACGTTGATTCGTATTTGAATAAGAATATGTTAATGATAATACTATTGATGATGCTTCACGACTAAAGAATTCTTGCGCAAGAATTTCGCAACTTGTTCCACAACTTTTCCATTTCGATATTTCATTCAAAATTGGTTTTTTTTTTTGTTGTTGGTAAACTTGAGTGATTGATCAGCAGCAGCAGCAGCGTTATGATGATGTTCGCGCATTTCCATCTAATTCTCTAACGGAAAGAAGCATCACTTCTGAGAAGAGAATATCTTTTAGTGTTACCTGAACAAATGGCAAAACCGTCATCGTTTTACATATTACCTTATCTGCAGTCGTCTCTTCGTCATATGTCACAATGTAATGTTCCTATCAATAAAATAACATGGGTTCCTCTATTAATTGAACGTTAAGAAGTAATGACG